ACTGCCGATAACGACGTATTATGTACAAAGGGTGTGCGTGTGCAGCTACAACAGAAAACAAATGCTTGACAGAAACACATGAGGCGTCCAAACTTCACTTTCAACGTTGTCACTTAAAATAATGGTGACACCTTACGCACACCAAAAAGAAAGAGGGAGAGAAGAAAACAAACCAAACTCATAATATGGATTATTTTGCGCCTCACGCTCACGCTTCTGAAAGTTGCGGCCACGGACCGTGCGCAGTGTCTGACAGCAGGAGAGGAATTACTGGGTTTCGCTCGTGGCTATCTGCGTGTGCGCCGCCCCCTTCCCGCAACTGCATCATTCGGAGCTTTATTTTTAAGGTATTTCACTGCCGCATGATGCGCTAACGCAGAGACTCATGAAGTACAGGAACCTTTGCAGATACCAACGACTGTAACATTTAAGGGCAACAGTGACGTGACGCTGCTCCAGCTTATAGCAAAATACCAGCCTTACTAAACAACACGGCTGCCTTCATCCTGCACAGACTGAAATCATAACATAAGCATAACCACATTTGTGGGTATTTTTGTGCACAAATTCCCGTGAGTGTCTGCATGTGTTCTTCGCGGCGCGCGCCCACGCCGGTCGAGTTTAAATGTACAAGAAGTCAGGCCAAATTGTTCAATCGCATCAAGACAGCAGCAGTGGTGGTTACAGTGCTTAATGACGACATTGATCTACTCGCGTTTCACAGTGTGATAAACAGATGTAGCATGGGATGTCTTCTTGGATAATGGGCGCGCGCGCACACACAAACACGCTCCGGCACAGGGACACATGCTCCTGCTGGCACAACGAGGCGGACAAACAGACAACCATACACCCACCTTTGCTAACAACTCGGAAATTAATTTCACCGACCAAATTAGAGGAAATATATGCAAATTATTTACATTTATTTTCTTGTTTCTCACCCGCGAAAAAATAAGACAAAAGTACTCTGCTGTACCTGTCAGTTACAACTGGCAAACTCTCTTCCTTTCTTCCCTTATTTCCCTGTGTTATCTTCCTTTCTTCGTCCGAAGCGTGCCACTTACTAATGAACAGAAGATGGAAAAAGAACAGCGAAGGTGATGGGCTTCTGAAATTTGTCGTATCTTTCAGTAACGATTCTCGACGCATAAGCCCCAATAGCTAAGAAACCAGTGGAGGCGGGGAGGCTGTGGGGCGGACCATAATAAACCTTTTAGAATAATGATTTAAATACAGAAACACTGGATAGCCTGGATTCTCGCGAGAACTACCTCACATCTGTCGCCTTGTAAGAAACATTCATTTCGTTCGAATGAAAACATGAATAAAATCTTTATACCACATCTAATCTTAAGACATATTGCTACTCTTTGATTATTGTCAAACGTTATTTATTTTTTTTTTTGAGATGTAGAAAATGGACTGTGCAGATCCAGAGATGGTGATAACCACAGGCAGCCATACAAACTGCAGGTGCCTCATATTTACACAATGCATCGTTTGGCCACTGCATCCCTGAAACTCACAGCAGCAATGACTTTTACAATTTTAGTGAAATTCTTTGACAAAATCTTAAAGATTAGAGACACAATAGAAAAGCTTCCCTCCACTTCTGTCTCCTCTTCAATTCCTGACAAAATGAACCTCTCTTATGGGACCTCTTCAGAATACACCTCTCCCCCCTTCCCCCCAAACTCCTCTAGTTAGCCCATTTCGTACTAGTACCATCTTTATTTTTTTGTTTTTATGATTGTTGTTGCTGTTGCTACTAATGTGTTCTTTCTGTTGTTCCTTGACAGGTCACTCACAGGGTCTAAGTCTCTGCTATCCCCTCTGGCACTCGGGACTTTTACTCCACTCTGGGACTTTTAGCACTCTTATCCCCGGCCGAATGCACTTGAGTTTTACGTTGTTCTGGATAAGAGAATCTATAAAATGCCTGTTATGAATGTGAAGCAGTTATCAAGCCTGTTCTGAAGATGTCTAAATCCAATTGGCCTGTTGAACCACAAGCCCATTTCAGACCTCCCTTCCCTATCGAAGATCTTGGAAAAAGCAGTAACAAAGCATACCTGCTACTTCCTTCAGACCCAGAACATCCTAGAAGTCTGTCAGTCTGGTATTAGATCCCATCACAGCACAGAAGCTGCTCTTCTCATGACAGTTCATGATTTGCTCCTCTTTTCTAACAATAGCTACATCTGTCTGCTTGTGCTTCTACACTTAAGTGCAGCCTTTGATACCATTGACAATATTATTCTATTAGACAGACTTTAAAATCTTTTTGGCTTAAGAGGACAGGCCCCTTCCTGGTTCAGGTCGTCAGAACGTCACCAGTTTGTCTACATTAACGATGAGTCATCCAATCGCTCCAGAGTACGATATGGAATACCACAAGGGTCTGTGCTTGGACCTCTGCTGCTCTCATTTTATATGTTACCTCTTGGCAATATCATCTGTAAACATGGCAATAGTTTCCAATGTCACGCAGATGATACTCAGCCGAACCTGATGCCCTTGGAGGCCTGTCAAGCATGGAGGCCTGCCTCAAAGATGTAAAGGAGTGGATGGCTAAAAACGTTTTCATTTTAAACTCAGATAACATTTAAATATTGGCTCTTGGCCCAAAGTCCATCAGGAGCAGCTATCACACTGCATCTTGATGGTGTCTCTGTGGGTTTCAGTGCAGTCACCAGAGACCTTGGTGTCACTATTGATCCTGAAATCTTTGGATACGCATATAAAAACACTTACAAAACTGTTTGCCTCCATTGTAAGTAAAGTAGCCAAAATCAGGAACTTTCTATCAGTCCATGACAATGAAAATGATGTTCTATGCTTTTGTTACGTTCAGACTGGACTATTGTAATGCCCTCCTGTCAGGATATGCAAATGGCTCCCTGAAGCCCCTCCAGCTGCTTCAGAATGCAGCTGCCTGAATCCTAACGAAAACAAAATGCTTTCAGCACATCCACCCTTTACGTAGCACCTCTTCATTGGCTACCCATCAAATTTTGCATTGATTTCAAAATACTATTTCTCATGTGTAAGGTTTTAAATTCGTTCGGCTCTCCCTATCTGAAGGACCTCCTCTAGCCTTATATCCCCTAACAATCTCTTTGCTCACAAAATGCAGGATTTCTCATTGGTCTGAGAGTGGGTAAAAGTACCATAGGCCCTCTCCTATGGAACAACTTATCCACTGAATTTTGGGGAGCAGACTCTCTCTCTTCCTTTAAAACCAGGCTCATAACATACCTACACAGTAAATACTTTTTTTTAAAGACCCGGCTTGGTGTTGACACAGATCATAGAGCCTCTGGTGGACTGAGTGGTCACTGCTGTCACCACATATTGGAATTGACACTCCATGTGTTATGGTGTGGTGTTGAGTGCCTGGTGTTGACCCTCATGACTGTACTGACCCCATGTCCTGCGTCTCTTAGGTATGCTGCCACAGTGCCAGCCTGCTGAGGTTTTTCTCCTTATTGCACATGGGCACCTCTTTTCCTCCCTCTCCTTACATGCTTCTCTGATTTTCATGCCTACCAGCTTCACCTTCCACTAATCAATACTTTGCTTTGTTTTTGTCTCCCTGCTCCGTGCTCCTGCCTGGAGCTGAAGCTCCTGTACTGCACCCCGGCCCAGGCTCAGGTTTCTTCCCATCCTGCCTGTCCCGACCTCCCCATGCCAAGAGCTGCACCCCACCAAACGATGCTGGTCCATAGAGCCCTCCTCCTCCTCCTCACAGCTGTCATCCCAGATTTTTGTCACAGTTATTGTTATTATTGTTACAGTTTTCTATTACTGTTTGAGTCAGTATGATTCATGTAAGCTATTTTACTCATATTACATAATGACACTGCATTTCTCTGGTTTAACTCTTTCTCTTCCCAGTGCTGGCCAGAAACAGATATGTTCCCCCTCCGAGCCAGGTTCTGCTCAAGGTTTTCTTTCTGGTTGTTGTTGCTTGCCATTGTTGCTATGCCTTGCTCTGAGGGGGTTTCAGGCCTAAAGCTACTTGGTGACAACTTGTTGTAAGAAGTGCTATACAAATAAGATTGAATTGAATAAAATTTTTAGTAGGCAAGAGTAACCATCGCCCACCACTGTAGCTTTCAGCACTTAATACCGCATATCACAGCACACTGTCACTGGACAAATGTTAGTGGAGAATTAATGCAAAACACTATGTTAAAACAAAGGCGAGGTGTTTGAATGTGCCTGCAATATGTAATTAAATCAGGTCAAAGTATAAAGTACAGTGATCAAGTCAGTATAATTTACAGGAAAGTTGGAAAGGTTCCAAGATATTTTAACCAGTTAATGATTTCCCTTCATACACACATGACCCACCACACATCTAGGTATGTGACCTCTCACTCCTTACCTCCTTTCCTCCAATCACATGTCTCCTTCAGCTTGTCAGGTTCCCTACTGCCCTACCCCCCCCCCCACATCCACCAGCATACACCTCTCAAGCCAACCCCCCAGGGGAAAAAGAAAACAAACACATATGGATGCAGAGAGAGAAAGAGAGTGAGTGAGTGAGGGAAGAGCTCTGCCATTGGCTTCAGGGGCCCTAGATTATAGTGAGCACTACACCCTTTTTCAAATGAACTGTGCAGCTGTATACATTTGGCCAGAGGGCTCTCTTTACATATTACATAATGTCCCTCATCTAGTGGGCATGGAGGCGGCGGGAGAGCTCCCCTCCTACATGGCAACAACTGCGCAGTGGTCAGGAGAATACAGTCGCATCATACATGAGTGCTCATCTGCGAGGGCAGCTCCTCAGAGCACTGATCAGAGTAGACTCAATTGGGTATTTTATTGTGTATGAGAATTTTTCAACTGAATTGCAGTACTCGGCTTAACTGAAAAAAAAAACAGAAAAAATAAGAGGCTAGGGCCTGTCATGTCTGTCTCTTACAGGATCCACTTCTGGAGTGAATCTCTAAATGTCCTTTCCTGAGTGCAACTCAAAAAGCTACCCTCACTGTGAGGAGGATTCAACCCTGCATGGGGAAACCCAACAGGATTTCCAACCCAATGCCTTCACCTCTTGGCCATCACATCCTAACAGAAAGCCAGAACAGACAAATAAAACCACATTTTAACAACATAAAATGTAGGCACAGCTCTCAAAGTCACATCTTGCACCTGAGACGTGTCCCATCTCATGCTCTAAGAAGGCAGTCTCCCCCCAAATACAAATGGTTTTATGGATTATCAGTTTTAACCCTTAAATCTAGTTTATTGTGTGGGCGTGATGTGAACACATTTCAGTGCCTGTCTTTATTTTTATATGCTTTTTATCCATCATTTAACCAGGTCAGGCCAACTGAGCTCAACATGGGTAGGGATTGCAATGGATTATACAGCAAGTCAGTTCACTGATTACAATTCATTCTCTCGTTTGGCATGTATTACGCCAGGTTTGAGCAAAGCGCCCCCCACAGGCCAGCAAACCCTTTTCCCTAAAGTCCCCCATGAGCATGAAGGCCCATTCCAACCTGTCTGCAAGGCTGCTGGAAATTCAGCCTTTCATTCATTCCTTCACTGAGGGAGAGACCCACGGCCACGTCAAACAGGAAGCATGGATACAGCATCCCAGAGTGCACTCTTGCCATCTCATAAACCTCAAATAGGTAGCACTTATTTGTTTAATTGATACCTGCACTTTTGGCAGGGTAGGTCCTCTGCAGATGTTACAGGTAAGCAGATCTCTTTGTAAACCAGGCTCCATCTAGTGGCTATCAAGTTGCACTGCAGCTCAAACCCTAAAGGCCAAAGCCTGCTTGGCAGGGTGGAAGGAAGTGAGATTGGCTGGCACATAAATCACAGGAGCCATGAGCTCACAGCTCTCTCCTCCTGCAGTCTGCAGAAAGGGCTCCTAGTCAGAAGATCAACATGTTCCTTTGAGACTGGACTTGGAGGAAAAATGGGGACATACATTTCAGAGAAAAAGATGATGAATTCCAACAATCTTTAGTTTTGTGTGATCTTCTATGTTAATGACTTGTTCAAAAGCTAATGTTAGTCCTGGAGGTGACGCCCTGGAGCTGCTCTGTGGGGGGGGGGGGTGGGGGGGGGGGGGTGTCAGTGTTCCAAGATCTGAGGTGGCCACAGCCAGACCCTTCTCAGCGTTTCCTCTCAGCAGTTTTCACACTGAGCAAAACCCTATCCAACCAAGTGAACAACAAAAATGGGAATTATGAGTGAAACTCGGAGCACAATTGGACTCTCTGCATAAATTTACTCCCCTGTGCTCTGCCATAGGTGACTCATAAGCTCTCTGCTGTCCGTTTCCAAGGCAACAGATTGAGAGAGGCAGTGAGTTAAATTGATGTCGAACTTTGTTGAGCGTTTTCCTGCATTTTACAATTTTTTAATTATGCCTGACTCAGAGCAGCAAAATGAAACCTCATGAATTCCACGGTGGATTTCCCCATGAGCTGTCAATCAAGATTTTTTCTAACCATAATCTCCTTTAAAGAAACCCCCATCCACAACTGACACCCATAGAAACTTTCATCTGAAATGTTATCTGTGGAACTTTAAAATATCCTACATTGGTAATGAATTCCTCCACTCTGGCAACCCTGCCCAAGAGTATATTCATCTCCAACATTTCTCTCACGTCCATACCAAAATGGTCAAAGCAGATTGCATGTTCCATATTCACCCAAATTTGGGAACAACTTTTAAACTTTCTCTGTTTTTCTCCCTTGCACCCTCTTTTTCCCCTTCTTTTTCTTTGGCATTCCAATCGGTTTGCGCATTCGGCTGTAAACCGAAAGGGTGGTGGTTCGAGCCCACCCAGTGGATGAGTGTTATTTTTTACGTGTTGTGTAGAAATCAAAGGAGAAGCCTGACTCTGTCTTTAGGTGTAGGGGTGTAATCGCATTCTGCATGGCTCTGTAAAAGGGGAGAAAGGAACCAGCTTATTTTACAACAACCTACAGCGGCTGTACATGAACGTCTGTCACACCCGGGGCCTCTCATACAGACTATGTATTTTTAAACGTTTAAATAAGTCTTAACAAAACAGAAATTTACAGGCAGTAATAATATTTACTGTGTATAGTGATACAGTTCTATTTCAGGCTCATCACTTTACACTAGGCTTCTGCCTAGTGGAGTAATCTAGCAGGTATAGGCTCAGTTGGGACTTGGGTAGACCATGTAGGAAGCTGCCTCCATCTAAACCAAGCAGAACCCCAACACCGCCGTGTAGCAGAGGGGACAATGTGCTGCAGAAGGTGCTGTATTTCCAATGAGAACTGAGGCCCTGACACACTGTGACTATTGAACACCCCATGACTGATAATTCGAAGAGCAGGCAGGTCCCCAGTGTCCTGGAGAAACTCCCCACAAAGCCCTCTCAGCCCGTAATCCAATCATCCCCCAGTTTAACTGGCTTACTGACTACTGCTGTCTCTACCCCAGCTGATGTGCGGTGAGCCTTCTGGCATAAAACGGCTTCCCGTTGAGTGGTTTGATGTTATTTTCCCTTCTTCAATACAATGTGATTTGGTTGAATGAAACCATTATATAAATGTAATCTGTCACCCATTATCATGTCTCTTCTATTCAAGAAACACATCAGTCACTTGATACAAGAGAAGCAGGTGCCATTTTATTATTGTGTGGACCATGTCTACTTGATTATTACTATTTAATCTCACACTCTTGTTTCAAACTGGGAATTGGTCATCTTTCTATATTCTTTCATGTTCATTAACCTTTGTGGATTACATTGTCATTTTCTCATTTACCACTACTAGCAGTATTTTTTCAGGTATCATTTGGTGCAGTAGTTAATAGGTCCGCTACATATTTTGTAATTTGAAACATTTTAAATCATTGGAAAATGTTTTTTAAACATTTGAATCTTGGGTTTTTCATGATTAGTTCTGGAAAAAGAATGGTTGTTTAAACACTTATTTGGAAATGAAAACCATGATACTCAAGCTTAAAACAGGAATCTGGGAGTGCTGAACCACAGTGGTTAGACACATGATCAGTACCCGAGCCTAATCGGCTAATTGAATCATTTGGTAGCAAATGATAATGATAATGAGCAGCTGTGACACAAAATGGCTGCCATGTGTCTCTAAAAGGGCCACAGGGGGTGTCTGAGAGAGAAAAGACAGCTGCCCACACAGTGTAGGTATTATTATTATCATAATTGATATTACTCATTTTTGGAAATCAGAGGATTCAATTTATCTCTCAGTCTCCCTCTCCCCATTCAACTCCCTGTCAGGCTGCAGTTCCAGTGTTTCCCACTGGGTGTCAGTGACGAGTCGATAGTTGATCTGCCGATATTTCTGAGGGTCCCTTTGCCTCTGTCTCCACACCTCCTCGTACAGGCTCTGGGTGACGGGGGGTAGGGGGCTGAACCCCCCCATGCTGGCCAGGGTTCGGCAGTACCCCCACTGGTCTGAGTCCATCTTCAGTAGATGCCTAGGCTGAACCCCCTCCATCAGCTTCCTGTCTGCCTCTCTCCTCACCTCTTCCTCCATCTCATCACATGAGGGCAACAAAACAGATCCCTCTAGTACTGCCAGTGCGAACTGCACCTGCAGAGAGAGAGGGCATGAGAGGGAGGGGGAGACAGGAGGAGAAGGGTGAGCAGAGGATGGTATAAGAGGGCAAGAGATTTAAGGAGGTTGAGAACAGGAAAGTGAAGAGAGAGAGGGACTCTGGCAGTCTCTGAAACAGTGACATCTAAGCTATAGGTAAGATTAAAACCTGCAACTGGATGCAGCTGGGTTTCAGTCACAATGCTTCTGTGGGGGACAGAGGGTATAGCATACCAGTGGTGGGGCAGAGCCTGAACTGTGAGAGGGCAGAGTGTAAATTGTGTGCAGATTTTGATGGCCGGAGTGTAACCTGTGTGTGGTAGTGGGGGGAGGAGACTGATCCTGCATATGGGCATGGTGGGCAGGGTCTGACCTGCATGTTGGAGAGGGGGGAGGAGTCTGACCTGCATGTTGAGAGGAGGGCGGAGTCTGACCTGCATGTTGGAGAGGGGGGAGGAGTCTGACCTGAATGTTGGAGAGGGGGGAGGAGTCTGACCTGCATGTTGGAGAGGGGGGAGGAGTCTGACCTGCATGTTGAGAGGAGGGCGGAGTCTGACCTGCATGTTGGAGAGGGGGGAGGAGTCTGACCTGCATGTTGAGAGGAGGGCGGAGTCTGACCTGCATGTTGGAGAGGGGGGAGGGGTCTGACCTGCATGTTGAGAGGAGGGCGGAGTCTGACCTGCATGTTGGAGAGGGGGGAGGAGTCTGACCTGAGTGTGGAAGTGGGGGAATGGGCAGATAATCTTGCAGATGCCGATGATGAAGAGTGAGGGCCAGGCCGGGGGCAGCAGCTGCTTGTACAGCGGGAACACCAGGTGTGGCTCCACCTGCAGGCCCAGTGACGCCCCGCTGAGGAAAGGGTAGCTGAAGCTATACCCTGTGCACAGGAGGAGCACCTGTGGATGGGTAACACTCCCATCTCCAAACTCCACCCCTCCATCCTTCAGCACCTGCCGCACAGGGGGGGCCTGACGCACCTGGGGGGGCAGCGGGAAGGCCAGGGGGGGCTTGCCATGGCTCAGGATCACCTGCAACATGAAGAGTGGCGCAGGGGCGGATGGGGGGTTTAAAAGAACCTGTGCAACAGGGAATAATTTACACTGTATTGTCTTTCGTCTTTTTCAGTACTGTATTTTGTAAACTTTTGGTCAGTTGGTATTGGTCTATGCTGCTTTCTTGGCCTAAATCTCAATGAGGTTTTCTCCTGGATAAGAATTCAAATATCTGTAATCATTATTTTTAAAATTGTATTTTATTATTATTATTATTATTATTATTATGCATTTACAACATTTTGTCATTTGGACCTTACCTGGTAGGTCAAATGAACTCATTTGCTGTGATGAGCTAGAGTATGAAAGTGGGAGGGGAATGGAAAAGATTGTGCAGCCAATCAGATGGAGGGAGGAATGATTACAGGGCCCGATAAGGAAATCTCACCAGGGCACCAGAGTTCACACCCCTACTCAATCTCAACATGTAATGGGA